TGTTCAATACCGAATTTATAAGAAATGTGAGGAACAGATAGATGAAACTCAGTTTGGCTTCAGAGGAGGCATGGGTACAAGAGAGGCATTATTTGCGTTGACGGTACTCTTGCAGAAATGTCGGGAATATAACAAGAGTGCATGTGTATGCTTCATAGACTTTAGGAAGGCCTTTGACCGAGTGCAGCATATGAAGTTAATAGATGAATTAAAAAACATCAATTTAGACAAAAAAGACATTGAGTTTATTAAGGCTATATACTGTAACCAGAAAGCAGTAGTAAAGGTGAACGATATAGAAACAAATAATATACCGATTGCGAGAGGGGTTAGGCAAGGATGCGTCTTGTCTCCGACGCTTTTCAACGTGTACTCACAGGTCATATTCAGAAAAGCCTTATGGGAAAGAAAAGAGGGAATAAGAATTGGTGGAGAAATCATAAACACCATGAGATTTGCAGATGACACGGTAATTATGGATGAGAGTATAGAAGATCTACAAACTTTACTAGATGCAATAAATAGTGAATGCATTCAAATGGGACTTGACATCAACACAGATAAGACCAAATTTATGATAGTATCAAGGAGTCCAATAAATAATGAACAACTAACTCTTGGTGGACAGCAAATAGAGAGAGTGACAAAATATAAATATCTGGGAGCTTACATCAACACAGAATTAGATCCAGACCAAGAGATCCGGGTACGAATAGAAATGGCAAGGGCAGCGTTCTTAAAATTCAAACAATTGTTCTGTGACAAAAATCTGAATATTGCGCTGCGACTGAGGTTTGTTAAATGTTACGTCGGGTCGCAATTATTGTATTGAAGCCTTTGAACTTTGGATATACCGGAGAATGTTGAGAATCCCATGGACTGCCAAAAATGAGGTCTAGGAAGGCGAAGGATTTCCTGGCTGAAGGATCTACGTACTTGGTTTAACACAACAACCACAAATCTTTCAGAGCAGCAGTGTGCAAAGTATAGATTGCAATGATGGTTGCAACATCCGAAACGGATAGGCACTACAAGAAGAAAACGCTTTCTCTTTCTTTAGTGATTTCCAAACACCCTTTATTTCTTTAAGATTTAGTCTGAGAGGTAGCCTCCTATGAATAATCTGGTAATTCAAGTTTTTAGTAGTTTTAAATTCTTCTTTGTTTATAACTATAATTTTTTTCTTTCATATTTCATCCCGATATTATGTTTTAAACCCTAAAAACTCATTTCTGATTACACTAAATTTGGTTGCTAAAGTTTACTATTTTATTGATTCTTTTTGTTAATTTATTCTTCAGTGTTTTCTGGAGTAGTAGCAGTCAGACGACGCACCTGGTGTGATACGAGTAATACAAGCCGCTTGAATAGCAGACAATATCGAACAATATACTATAAAATAAAGCAGCACTTTTACTCAAAAAGATTAATAACAAAACAGAAGAAAATAGCACAATCAAAAAGGAGTAGCAAAAACTGAAGGCAAAACCCGTCAGAATAAAAAAAGAATGTAATGAGCTGCAAATACAAAATCTTTATATGTAAATCCTACAACGCCCTTTCCGCATATAACGTCCACGAAAAGATCAAGAACGAATCCTAAGAAGTAAAAGGAGCTATCGCCGTCATAAAAGAACAGAAATTGACAATACCAATATTAAAAATTTAGCAGAAGAAATAAGAGAATTCAACAGAAAAAAGAAGACTTTCAACAAGGAAACTCAAAAGCAACACAAGACAACTTCAGTCAAATGACCTTATTACACTATTACTAAAAATACGAAGACCAAATCCAATTTTATATAAGCACCCCCAATATCATCGACAAAACTGAATATACCCATTAAGACCGACGGCATCAACGTCTTACCAGCACACCAGTACCAATCGTCACGCATTTACTGGATACTAGGGACCCTATCCGGCAAACTAATAATAAAAATATTGCAGCCGTATGTACTATGATAAGCGTAAGATAAGCTATAATCCAACAGAAGAGGAATCAAATGAAAGAAAATAAAACAGTAGACAATACAAAGTAAGATAATGTATACAAAGTATTCTACACCGAATATAATTTAAAAGAAGACAAAATAAACACGTCAATCCTGAAGGGTTGGAAACTACAGCTGTAGAAAAGACAAATAAGAAAAGTATAAAAGTCTTGTGCGGAATAGGCTAACTCGTGGAAAACAAAGAACTGAATTTCGGTGGAATGCGTATAATCCGTCTCAAACATCCCATAGAAGAGACCTTGGAATGGAAGGTGGAAAAATGAGAGAAGAAAATGAAGTACAAAAATAAAGCTGCAATAAAATTTAAAGATATGATTTATCTTTACATCATTTAAATAACCTAATAGATATACAGTTTAGAACATATATAGTCTCTAAATATCTGCAGTTGTTAATTGATTTAAAACTATTTTAATAAGCCCTCAGGCCGGTTCTGTTTTCGGTGCATAGATTTAAATACGATCAGAAAGTCGACTGTCTGAGTAGGAAAGTAAAGAAGCAGAAAATTAGTCCATGAGTTATTTCGCCAAGTGGTAGTGAGCTTAATTTGCCTTTTAAATATACCTTTCGGTTCGTATGCGGAATACTGATTTTATCTTTCGTTTAAAAAATTGCATTTTTAAAAGAAACTGGGTCAATTGAATGGTACGGTATACATGTTTGGTTTTCGTGGTTTTCTGCTTTGCTGAACGATACATCAAAAGAGTTGCCGAACACATAGACGTAGGTAGAAAGTATTTAATTTGTTTTCATTTTCAGCGAAAAACTACCCTCGTATCTTCATGTTTACTATGTTATGTGTTATGATCTAAATGTCATATTAAATTGCTATATTTTTAGTAATTCTGCCAAACATGTCATTACTTTTTTTACCTTTATATTACCTCTCATTTTTGTAGTTCACTACTCAAAAAATAAAATTTTCTGAATTCTAGCCTAGTCTTTCAGGAGATTTTCTGATCGATAAGTTTAGTCATCAATGGTACTTATTCAACATACATATTCAACTCCCTTTGTATCTATATCACTGCTCTCACTGATATAAAAGGATTTCCAAAACTTTATATTGGCCTCACAAGTAGACTTCAGTATCTAACGTTTATGCTTAAATATGGTATAACAAGTCAAGTCACACCTAATAACTAAACACTTTGTGTCCTTCCTGTGGCGAAGAAGACATCCCATCTATATAGCAGTTTTTGTCTTTTGGCCAAAACCGTTTCATCTTTATATCCATTCCTTTGTAGGCCTTTTTTTAATATCATGCTTAATCCTGTAGCCTTTAGTTGGTTTCTCTCTTGTATCCATGGTTTAGTTTCTATCTTGTGTGCCATTTAGTACCATTAGTTATTTTTCTTGCATTTTTTCCAACAGTGTGTTCCTGGATACGTCTTGAGGTCTGTAGTTAATAGCGTCATTTATATGTCAGACCAAGCACTTATTGTGTGATGTGAATATATTACTACTTATTCTAAATAGTTCAAGGAGGTCAGGTACTTCTTGGACTTGGTTTACTTCCACTTCTTCATCTACGTATTGGTCTCCTTCAAATAATGCCAGCCGGTTAATGGTGTACTATTATTGGAATCTTACTCATTCGGTAGATGACATCGTTAATCTTTTCCCTAATAAGGTACGGACTTTCCCAGCTGCTTTAAATTGGGAGAACAACCCTTTCACTTCTTTGGTGTTAGGGTTCTAGGCGTCCACTCGTCGTTGACCACCGTTGTTTTTAGCACTACTGTTTCCTTGGATTCTGTTTTGTTTCCGTGGGAACACTCTGGTGAGCACGCCCTTCTAGAGAGAGAATCAGCGTTTCTGTTCCCACAGCCCGAGGTTCAATGTTGAAATCGGAATCTTGGAGTCGTCCAATCCATCTGGCTATTTGACCCTCTGAATTCAAAAACTGTATTATTAAACTGCATTAACCACTTAAGAGCTTCATGGTAAGTTCGGATTAAAAACTTACTTCATTTCACTTCTACTTCATTACTCATTTCACTACTGCTAGAAGTTATCTTCTCGTAACGCAATAATTTCGCTCAGATTTTGAAAGCCCTTTAGTAAAGTCTCCAAGGACTCATTCCTCTCCTACTTGAATCTGACATACCACTCCTCCAATCCCCATAATACTTGCATCTGCATCTAAGATAAACTCTCCTTCTGGCAATGAATACCCTAATATTGGTGCTGTGATTAAATGCTTCTTTAAGTGCTTCCCTTTTAACTTTTCTTCAAAAGACGAAATGTCGGCAGCTTTGTTTTCCAAAGAAGATATTTTATCGTCAAGAGAAGACATTTTAGAAGAGACGTTAGAGATTTCCAAAGAGATGTTAGCAGAAACTTCTCTTTCCAATGTCCGTAGAAACTTTAAAAATATTAGAACGAGCTTTGCTTTCCAGAGAGGAAATACCGCTAGATTCTTTATTTTCTAAAGAAACATGTCCGTAGAAACTTCAGAAGAAGAAACTCTCGAAATACCACAAGAAACTTTATTTTCTAACGATGTAATCGACGAAATCACAGCAGCATTTCTGTTTTCAAACACATATGTTTCTGGACCAAAACTCTCATCTTCCAGGGCGTCCTTTAGCCAATGGACGAATTCACCCTTTTGCAAACATAATTTATTTCTCTATCTTCCAATTCACGTTGTAAATCCGTTATTTTTAAATCAATAATTATCGTAGCCATTTTCACACAATTTATTTAAATATCTCACTTCTGACACCAAATTTATAACATTTATTTACTTAACCGTGCAAATTTATATTACCGACTGACTCTTAAATTGTAATCGCTGTTATTTATATTGTGTGCTTCAATGTTCCGGATTTTAATAGAAATTTCTCGATGCCGCAAGAGCGCTGTACCTGCAACTCGATCGTCGATCGTGTATATTCCATCTGTGGCGTAGCAAGGCTATCGTACCAATACTATATACTTTTTAGAGGCTGTTAAATTTATAAATTTACTAAAACTTACCTAGTATTTGAGGAGTTGGGGTCAATAACTTGTACTACTATGAACGTATGCAAAAAATGCGACGCGATCATGTCAGGAGTGAAAGGTGTGTTATCCTCTTGGAAAACTATCGCCACAATATCATTGCCGATATGTCTTTTCCTTTGCAATTGCTGAGGGTCATTTTCGGTAAAAGGTAAAAGTGTTGAAACGTGGAACATTATCTCCCTTTCTTTAAATACTTCATAAACAGCCGTGTCTCCCGTGTGACCGTTTTGGATGTCCAGACCACCTCGGTAACTGAAACGAAACAAATATTTAATATAAAAACAACAAAAATGGTACAGTATAACAATAAAAAAAAAAATAAACGAATAGACAAAATAAGAAGAGGTTAGGAATGAGAGGGCCTGGAGTTGGTCACTGAGATAAAAAAAAGAGTAGTAAAAAGGACAAACGGAATGAAATTCTTTTACAAAAATGTAATCTTACCCTTTGTGATCTTTGAGCTGTATTCGTTGTCCCAACAAAGACAAAAAATCGTCAAACGCCGGCGTGGTAACACTATTACAGAATAAGTCCTCCTCGTCAGTTTGGCCAAACTGCTGATATAGCACTCCGAACTTGAAATTCGTCACTAGAACGTGCTCGTCATAGTTGGCTATGAGTTGAGAGGCTTTGGGGTGAAGAACAGGTACGAAGTTTTCAACGTTTAATTGTTCGTTGAGAAGTTTAGCCATTTTGGCGGGCGAGGGACTGGAACCGAGACACGAAGATGGTACTATTTCATGCATGGTGCCGGAACGCAACCTCAAGAGGATCCGGGTATGTTCCTGGTTGGCTACGTTTTCGGTTTTGATCGATAGAAGTACTGGGCCATGGTTCTCGTCGTTTCCGATTAAAGAGGAGTGTTCCTGAAACAAAATGTCGTATTTAACTTTATTGTTAAATAACCAAACAACTTTCGATTGTATGAAGCTAGAATTTATAAAGCAGTAGGAGCCAGAAGAAAACAAGCAAAATGTAAGTAACTGAAATTAAAGACACTTTTCTACAATCAAAGATGCAGTTTAGATACTCAGTATTAGCAGTAAAATGTTGGTTAATACTTTATTACACTTACTTCACGCTGTTTTATGTATAAGAGAAATAAAGCAAATAAATATGGTCATAAGTCATTCGATAACGTGGCTTAAAATATTATAGAATATAATTTCTAAACAATTACAAAATACGTTTCTTAAATAACGAAACTTGCACCAAAATCAGAGGTTTTTTTCATATTTTCCGCCCTTAGAATATTTGACTATGCCCTCACACATATATTTAATGAACCACCGCGTTCTTATTAGAATAGTAAAACAGTGTAAAGTACAACATCCATATCATTAAACTGACAGATATTATAAATTGCAGTATATACTCATTGGGAGCGACTTCATTCAAATTTCAGATATTTGTGAAGTATATCATCACTCACTAATGAATAGATGGAGCTGTTAACCATTATTCCTCGATTCATTAATACAAACTGCGACAAAGGCATTGCTAGTAGTTATTTATATGTTGATGAAGTTATGAAGTCTGTAATATGAGGATTGTAGTGATGTACGTAGACTAAATGTTTCCATTTCGGATTAATGACTGAAATTCTTGTACCTATTAAATAATATATTTTTCGCTATTTTCTTATATATATATATATATATATATATATATATATATATATATATATATATTGTTATGATATGTAAAATCAAGAAAATATCGGTTTGTTTAAAATACTTCAAAGTTCAAAAACATTAAAATAATTCAGATAAGTAGGATAATAACCAACAAACATTTCGAAGAAGGAAAGTCTTTAAATTTTTGGATTACCTGTATTAAACAAAATGTAAGCTATGCATAAATTATTTTCTTTGTTATAATATACTTGAGTGACCCGCATAATTTTAAGTGAAATTCAAAGACAATTGAACCGGGTTTTCCAAATACATTAATGGAGTTATTAAGGACAATAGAATAGATTTTAGAAAGATACGTTTTTGTTAGTTTTTAAGAATCGTAGAAAAATATTGTTTGTAAATAAGTTTTAGGAAATTTTATAATTATAGGTAAAATTTTGTTTGTTATCGAAATGAAAAAATGGGAGAATTGTGACGAGCTTTGATTGGCGGAGATTGAAAAAGGTGGGATAGGTATGTAGGAATGAAAGTTTAGCTAGATTGTGGAGAGAGAAAAGATAATGAGTTGGTTTCCAAGGGTGCAAGGCGAACGGCCGTTGTTTCTCGGGTAGTTTCCCAGAGGTAGGAAGCAGTAGCAGTGAAAGTTTGTGAGTTTTCGTGTAGTTAGTGTATCTGACAGAAGCTGATCCAGTAAAAGATTGTAAGTCATATTTTTCTACTTATATTCCAAGAGTCACTGTTCAGGCCAACGAAAGATTCAGTTTATCGTAAAGAAAAGATATTCCAAGAGTCATTTTTCACTCAGGCCAACGAGAGATTCAGTTTATTGAGAGAAGAAGAAGCTAGCATAATTTGAACGATTCGTGCATTTGAAGGAGATCATTAAGGACGATAAACTTGCAATAATTTGTTGTAAGATTGCTGATTACCTAGGAAGCGGCTGAGAGTAGATAATATAGTCTACAAGGAACAAGGATTTGGACCACTCATCATCAGAGAGAGATATTTTTGTTTTCTGCAGTTTTTCTTTTATTGATAACACAATTTTTACACTTAATTTCGAAAGGATATAAATATTTTGATTAGGAGAGTTAGAATAATTTGGGATTTTGAGATTTCAATTAATATTGTTTGTACCATTAATTTTGAAGGTTCACGTACGTAGAACAAAATTTTGAGAATCATTATATGAGATATTGTTTATTGAAAACAATTAGAGTGTGAATTTTATTTCATTATTTTTATTTCAATATATAATGTTAGATCATATATGTTTTTTTATTATTCCGGTATTCTTTGGACCTTACCTTTCACATGTAATAGCATAGATATTGAAGCACGAATTTAACCCTGAAATAAGAGAATTAAAAAGTGTGATAGAGTCATAATCATATCATTTAAATAATTTTAATTAATCAATTAATTAATTAGCTAATTAATTGCTTGGCGCACCAAGACTTGAAATATCACAATAATATATATATATATATATATATATATATATATATATATATATATATATCGAAGAAACTAGCGAAAAATATACTATTCTCTATGTCCTTTTCTTGTGACATTTTTTAATATTGTTTATTATCTTTAATGGAAATTGTTGTTAATTCTCCTTAAAGATATTAAGTAGATTAGTGCAGTAAATCAACAATTCTGACAATAACCACTTTTGTTATGGTTATCGTAATTTGGAAATGGTGTATTATCACAAAATATTTTCAAGCACCAAGTGAAAATATTCGACAGATATAGAAAAAGGGAAGCTGTGTTAATCCTGACAGTCGGTCTGATTCGCTACATTAGATGTTTTACCTCGCTAACAAAAAGATGATCTAAAACCTAAGTATATTTGAGAACACTATTAATCTTTGTAAACATTTATTGTTTTGCATTTTGAAGCGAAGCTTTTATACTAAAATTGTATAATTTTTTCTCTATAGTAAAATGCAGATCGTCACAATATACTCGAAAAATGAGAATTCGGTATACAACATGTAAACATTTCATTTAATTAGCTACACGAAATACATAGTTGGAAGAGTCCATTTATTCGATGAGGAGAGTGTTATAAAACATGTCAACATTTCATTTTGTAAATGACATATTTATATAGTATTAATTTCTTGTAATTTTGAAAATGTCGAATGAACAATATTTATCACCTGTGAAAGATAAATACAGTAGTGAGGATAGTGCTAGAAACGATGTGGTGAATCTGTAAATGATTCAAATAAATAGGAGGCTAAAACGTAAGCATGTTTGAACATTTTCAACAATTTTAATGGAAAAATGAACTAGTCTGTCTGGAGTAAGTCTTTTTTACGAGATGGTGGCGTCAGCTTAAGTACTTTTAACTTGCTACCGAACCCGTCGTACCACCCTACTGCAGTATACGCTGGGAACAATTACAAATACTTGCCCATTATCCTGATATGCTGAACTAGTGAAGGCAGGTAGGAACGGGGTCCCGACCTTGAAGGTTGCATAGGTAACCGTCGAGATTATGGGTAATAAGAGCAGAGTGGTCCCACGTGAGCTCGTCTCGGATACTAACAGCGCTAACCGATGACCACCACCAATTGTGGTCTCGTCTCGTTTCAGCTCACGTTAACAGCTCCTTACCAATTACCGATATCTCAAACACGGCCACGTTACTGTACTTTTCATTGAAGTAAACAAATCGCGTCTTGCGTGTGCGTTTCTGCGGTCTCGGGACTTCAGTCGACGACTCACCATCTCTTATTCCATCCCATTATTCGCTTTTACGACAGGCAGGCACCAGGACCCTAATATTTTTTTCTTCTTTTCTGAGGGTGGAAATATTCTGGAGAAACCGTACCAGGTTAATCCATCCCTAGGGGTAGCTGGTGTGTGTTGGATTCAGGTTAGAGGAGTACATCTGAGCCCATTTCCCCTAGAAGGTAATTCTTATTTCTGTCGTTGGTCAGGCTGTTGTTTCTCTTCTTCTTCTTTCTTCTTAACGACTGCTCAGGTGTAATTGTGTACACTATTCCATCCCTCCTTAGCTCCCATCATTTTCACGATCATCTCTCTCACAGTCACAGGGTTCTACACATTCTATTTCTCTCCACTGTTCACCTATATGTGTATTATATATATATATATATATATATATATATATATATATATATATATATATATATATATATATATACGCCTTAAAACACACGTGTCCTCTGAGCACTTGCATCAGAAAGTAATCCAGTCGCCTGTAACTACAGTCTACCCAGTCCCTTAGGCTCGAGATTAGCATCTTACTCTACTGGGCAACATCTTCCAAGCAGTTCTATTTTCGTGACATTTTTAGGTTGGTTGGTTGGTATAAAGCAAGATTTAACCATTCGCTTAACCACTACAGATTTTGATGAAGAACTTCAAGAACTTTAACATCGACACATTTTCATAAATTTTAAGACATCATAACAATATAGCCAAAACTGAATTAATTAATCTGAATAAGTTGGAGTCTACCAACGATTAACTTTTAGTCTTGCTTGTGCAAAATTTTTGAGGCACCATTTTATCTATATTTCAATAGCATTGAAAACAGAGAATGTAGACATTCTGTATACTTCAAGCACAATTGATAATAGGTGGTATACGGTGTCAATATCTAGCGTACAGCATCCGACCTGTTAATAATGAATCATTAATACATATTTGCAGGAAACGCCAGTGTTTGTGGAAGTGTATATACCTCTAGAGATTTTTACACGATGAACAACATCGAACATTAAAGGAAAAAGAAGACTGGTAATCGAAATAATTTCGAAAGTAGATAAGGAAGAGGGCGCGATAAAATAATATAAAGCGTGAATTACATCCGCAAGAGTTCACAGAAGTAACAAGTATTTTTATTATTTTAATATAAAAAAAAACAATATTTTTAATACAATATAACGAATGTATTGAACAGAAAATTAAGAGGAATCTTAAATTTGAAGTATCTTTATTTTAGAAACAATACGAGTCAGAAATTGTAGTTTTAAGTTATTAAAAAAACTATTTCTGTGGTGACACGTGAAATCAACTATAAAGGCAACGATCATTTTTTTAAGAAAATGTAAACTTAAACACACTAGTAAACACATCCCCCGTCACTATCTTGATCAGCGACAAGCTACTTACTGGACAATTTCTTGGTCTCATTGTCCAATAAATGGGAACGTTTATCCACTTTTAAGTTTGTTCAGTGAGTGCTTTAAGAAGGTTTTCTCAAAAATATATTAAAAACAGGAGCTAACACTAACAAGGTAAATCTTGAGAGAGTAACGCATGG